GTGGGTGAAGGGAGACGTCGGACAGGGCAAGATATGACAAAATAACAATTTATAAACTATCAAGGGCTCATGAGGGAAGGGGGAGTGGGGAGGGTAGGGAAAATGAGGACCTAATGTTGGGGGTTTAAGTGGAGAGAAAATGTTTTGAGAATGATGAGGGCAATGAATGTACAAATGCGCTTTACACCATTGATGTGTGTATGGATTGTGATAAGCGTTGTAAGAGCCCCTAATAAAATGATTAAAAAAAACAACCTCTCTCTTATACATATGAGTTTCTGTGGACTTGTTTCTCTAAAGGAGCTAGACTAACACAGATTGCCAGAACATTCTTCACAGACTGTTTAGTCTGAAACCTGCTCAGAGCTATAGCAACAAGGAAGCCTCCACTGACAAGTGGATTTCAGTTAGAATGAAGACACACGTAAGTATGACCTAAAGTTGAAACGTCGCTGAGAATGCAGCACCTCAACTAATGATTTCCCAGAAGTAAACTGACAGCTGTCTTCTATAAGGAGAGTATTGTTTGTCTAAAAGCACAGAAAAGATGAGTAATATATCGGATTGTGTGAAAAGCAACCCTCTGCACATATTTATATTTTACAAGCTCTTAAAAGTTGAAAGAGACCTCCAATGATAAGCAAATATTGTTCACCTAAATTTACCTGTTGTCATCAAGTTAATTCTGACCCATGCAACCTCTTAGGGGTCAGCATGAAATTTATTACCGTATACACTCATGTGTAAGCTGATTTTTTCAGCACATTTTTAATGCAGTTTTTGTGGTAAAATTAGGTGCCTTGGCTGATATTCGGGTCGGCGTATACTCAAGTATATATGGTACATAGCGTTTCAATAGACCTTTCTTCCAAGACAATTTTGAGTGGAATAAGATTCCCAACCTTTTGCTTAGCAGAAGCACTTTATTAATTTGCATAGATCTCATGGAGTTACACCTACCATTTGCTAAAGTTTTGCCAAATTTAATTTGAAGAGAGGGAAGGAGGGGGAAAGGGAGAGAGAAGGAAAAGGTGGGAGTGGGGAGAGGCAGGGAAAGGAAGAGAAAGAAGTCAGCTGGAGGCAGGAGGGAGGAAGAGAGAAGGGAAGGAAGATAGACTTGTCCTTCCTTTGGCAGTGCTGATGGCCTAGCACCTTCTGGGTTCTCTGTAGGAAGAAGGTCTGTTCCTGGGATGCTCCATGATCTTCCTCCTTACTCCCCCTTCATCTTTTTCCTCCCTCACATACCCCTCCCTGCCCCATTGTTTCTAGTTTTCCTTTTAGTAGGAATTCCCAAGTGAGCTTTTTTAATGTGGGAGTGGAACATATGCTAAAAGATCTCCAGGACTTCATGGATTTTTTTGTTCTATTTTCATTTCTTGGTATTAATTTGGGTGATTCCTTCCCTTTCCTTTCTCTCCCACGGGTAGAAGGCTCTGTGTACCCTTCATTAAATTTGGTACAGAACCATTGTGTTAGTCTGGATAGCTAGAGAAACAAATTCATAGAGACTTTCATATGTGTATAAGAGTGAGTTTTATATAAAGGGTAATTGTACTTACATCCGATATTAGCCCATATGTCCAATACCAATCTATAAAGTCCTCTTCAGACTCATGAAACACATGCAATGATGCTGAATGCAGGAATATTACAGGCCAGTGGGTGTGAAGTCTTGTGGATCCAGTGGTGGTATAAGCATCTCAGCACTAGCAAGGGTCTCTATGTGGCTCTCCACCTCAGGGAACTAGCATAGTTCCGTGTGTCTTGTCAGCTGCTATGTCTCCGAGAAAAAGAGAGTGTCTCCCACCTCCAAGGAGGAATACTGAACTTCCCAGAATCCTCAGGAGAAGGCCATGCCCACACAGAGGCCTCATTGTCTGTGACCCGATTGACAGACTAGACTCCACCCCTTCACTCTTAATCCTCAAATTGACACCAGATTATATTACCAGTACAACCACTCACCAGAGCTGTGGTGTTAGAAAGGTGAAATATGTTGTTTCTTTAAAAAATAAAAAGGCACACATTCGTTTTCAGCCTAGACCTGTCTCTCTTCCTACCTCCTCCCGCCGCCCGCCCCCCCCCCTTTCCTTTAATTGCCTTCTAGAAGGTCTCATAGTATAATTTATGTCTTGGCTCCAAACAAAGGAATTTGGGTTAAACATTCCTGACAATAACACTGCCAAGATGATGTGCATTCCGTCCGGAGGCACACAATGTCAGTGTGTCCATAATTGGTAATCTTGAGCTTGTTCACTTGGCTCACGTTCTGACTGATTCTTTTGAGCCCACACTATCCAGTGGGCCAGTTTCTCAAGGATACCGTATATTGCTTTCAGACTTATATACTGCATCAATCAGTGCTCATGCAAATATGTTAATTCGTGACGAGTCAGCATGAAAACCTGAGGGTATGCATGATGGCTCAGCGAGGTATGAAAGGGTTACCCCAGATATGTCCAGGTAAACCTGGGCAGTGATCTTTTGCATGATCTGAATATCTTTTCCCCCCAACAAAAATAGTTGTAGCATCCATGTTTTCTGGATTTATGCCCTGGGTCTATTCATTATATTGGTGCTGTGAAAGGTTAATTTTCTAATGCTGTCATTTCTTTTACATTTATCTATTTTTAAAAAAAATGAGATTTACTTGTTCTCTCTTCCTTTATATAGTAAAACAATAGATTTATGGATTTTTTTCATCTTATGGATCATGAGCCAACATTCTAATTATTCTTTGCAGACTAAAATTGATCCTGGTTTTACCAGTGAGGAATCCTTCTCTCTTTTTGGTTTGGCCCCATCAGTTTGAGCAAAACTTTCTCATGTCTATTGATTTCACACTTAGATCCCAACAACGTTCTCCTGAAGAAGGAATGACCACCTGCTTCTGATTTTCCGCAGCTCCGTTTGCTCCACCGATTGGACACGCAATCCGACAGGACAGCTGAAAGCGGTTCTCAAACATTTTGGTCTCAGTACTTTTTGTGTGGGTGCACCTAAAAATTTATTGAGGACCTCAGCAACCTCATTTTTTAGGGTAGTTCTATGTGCTGATCTTTACTACCCTCAAAACTTCAAGGGAGTTTGAAAATAAAAACCATCCAAGCGTGGATTCCATTAGGCATCAGGGTGATGTCATTGTCACACATCACAGAGCCTCTGAAAAACTCCAGAGAACACTTTGGTGTGTAGGGCAGGGTGGGGGGAAGGGAATGAAAGTGAAAACAGTAAATTGTGTACTGGTATTATTAGGACAATACTTTTGACTTTGTGGGCCTCTGAAAGACTTTCGGGGACAGTATTGAAGATTGCTGGTGTAAAGAAAATGGCAGTATTCTGAGCAAGTTCTGTGAGTTTATCTCAAAGGGACTCCTTACTAAACAGCTGTCTTTAACAACCGATACACGATTCCATCAATCAACCACAACTTCAATTTAAACCGTTTCTTTTCTGGGAGTTCCCCTCCAAAATGC